TATAATACAGTCAAAATGGGAGAAAGATGTAAAGTTATCAGAAAATGAGATAAATAAAATAATGAAAGGTATTAGTGATATAAAATGGAAAAAATTTAGAGAAATTGAGATGAAATTAATATTGAAATGGTATAGGACGCTCAGGTATTTTATATGGTCAAGGGATTGACATCCCATTGTTGGCATTGTAAAAAAGAAAAGGGTTATTATGTACATCTTTGGTGGGGGTGTTCTAAGGTGGTTATTTTTTGGCAAAAGATATTGGGAAAAGGTGGAGGAAGTATGTAAGGTTAAAGTGGCAATATCAGGGAAAGTATTATTCGTCATTTTACGGAACTGTAAAATAGAAAAACCATATCAGGATTTATTTAAAGCTATGATTCTAGCTGCCCATGCGGTTATAGCGTTTGGCAAGATGCTACAAAATGGAGTACAGACAGATGGAATGATTACTTATATGAATGGATACAGTCAGACATATTAATGATATTAAAACAGGAAAAGTTAGGTGAGGATAAGATTGTGGAAGTCAAGAAGAGATGGTTAGGGTATATAAGATGAGTAGAAGCAGGAGGGGCAATAATAACATATTGGTTAAACTCCAAAAGGTGTGCTCATGGTTAAAGTTATAAATCAAGGAATTATTGCTGGTCATTTCGAGGGAGGGGGAGGGAGAAAAGGGAATAGGAAAAGAAACATTTATTGTATTGAAGTATGTAATATATGTTATGCTATGTATTGTTTGACTTATATGGAAGCAAGATTAATTACTTCAATAAATTAAAAAAATAAAAATGAATTAAAATCGACAGAAAGACTCAAAGAAAGGTCAAGATTTCCTAAAGACAAATAGAGTCAAGATTTCCTAAAGACAAATAGAGTCAAGATTTCCTAAAGACAAATAGAGTCAAGATTTCCTAAAGACAAGCCATTGGGTTTCTATACAAATATAACGGAAATGGATAAGGTACTGTTACCTGCTGATGTTAAGCTGATAAAGAAATCGTATACAATAATGTTAGAAGATAAAACACAAGATGAAGTAATTAAAACTGTATAGTTAAATGGGCACAAAGTCTGGATCATAATATTGAGTTAGACCGATGGTCACGTATATGGAAAACAAATATAAAGATGTTCCTGAAAGAGCAGTTTGTGTCAGAGTTCTCTCAGCCCCACCCACCTCACAGGGTGTCTGTTGTGGGGAGGGGAACGGAAAGGAATTTGTAAGCCGCTCTTAGACTCCAAGTGAAGGGCGGGGTATAAATCCAATCTCTTCTTCTTCTCTTCTTCTAAAATGTATATTACCCCAGATAAATTAGCTAAATTTTACTCTAACCTACCAAATGATTGTTGGAAATGTAAAAACAATGTTGGTTCATTTTTTCATATGTGGTGGACATGTGATAAAGTTAAAAAGTATTGGAGCTGGATACATGAAATTTTGCAAAAAATGTTAAAAACTATTGTGCCTTATACACCAGAGTTGTTTCTATTAAATATATCACCAGAGAACTATAGAAAGCAAGTTTTTTATCTCACGATACATATTGTGAAAGCGGCAAGAATATATGCTAAACATTGGAGAAGAAGTGAAAGGAAGAAGTTATAAATTATTGGAAACAGCAGAGATGGACAGTTTAACTTCAATCTTGAGAGGAAATAACAAAGAAGAATTTGAGGACACATGGTCAAGGTTTTATAAATGGATAGAAGAACATAACATATAAAAACTCCTGGACATGCAACCAAAATAAAAAGAAATAAGAACTATATACTTAACTATGAGCAAAATATGTATATTAAAACCATAAGGTTGGAAAGATATAAACTTTTTGGTTACAGTTTGAGGTCAAATGGCTATGTAAAAAAAAGATACAAATTAATCTTCCCAAATGTGTGTCTATGTAAGTCTGTTCAGTCTTTGTCTTATGTGTATGGAATAATTTTTTTAAAAAGAATCTGGAAGGGGTTAGAGCAAGGAGGCTGTTTTTCATTGATATAATACAATGTGAACACAGGCTTCTGCAATAGATCTTGTTCAGGTTTTTATGTAGTACTCATACCGGAATCTTCTTTTTGTGTAGACTGCTGGCATCAGCCTTCTCTGCACCGCCATGACTCCGTGGATTCCAGTGTTTCTAAAGGGACCCACATTGGGCTAGCTAGCAATCAGTCTGGCTGGCATGGTTCTTCACGGGGCCATGATGGTATGAGTCAGAGAGGTGGAGGAGGAACTGGAGCCCATCGCCACTGGAATGGCAACTTCCACTCCCGAAAGGGTTCAGCCTTTCAGGAAAAGCCACCTGCTGAGGCCAGGGAGGAGAAGGAAGAGAAGGAGAAACTGCAGTTTGAAGAAGATGACTTTGTAAGTGTGGTGTTCTGCAGTACATTTCCCAGATTATTTTTTTACTGGTACTGGCAAATTTCAGGAATCTAGAACTGATTTTCAGCTTTGATTTTATGCTTCCCTTCATCTTGAATGAAGTGGTACCTATCTAGTTGTTTCCAAAACTGCTAATGGGCATTGATATATTGCATTGAGTATTCCAACACTGTAATGGCTTTCGGAATTGTTTGCTCACAATTTGTAGGATGTCAGAAGATGACAACGGCTGACCACCTGTAACTGAGGTGATGGTTGGTGTATGCATCATTAAAGCATGGAAGTAGCCATTGCAGATTACCTTTTACTTAAATAACCAATATTATTGTAAAGGCTTCATACACAGGCTATGGCAAATAAAATGCAAGTCTGTGGTCAGGCAGGCAAAAAGGGAATATGAGGAGCATATAGCAAAAAACGTAAAGACCAACAATAAAACTTTCTTCAAATACATTAGAAGCAGGAAACCAGCCAGGGAGGCAGTGGGGCCCTTGGATGACCAAGGGGTAAAAGGAGTACTGAAGGATGATATGGAAATGGCTGAGAAGCTAAATGCATTTTTTGCCTCTCTCTTCACTGTGGAAGATGAGAAGTGCTTGCCCACTCCAGAACCACTGATTTCAGAAGGGGTGTTGAAAGACCTGAGTCAGATTGAGGTGACGAGAGAGGAGGTCCTAAAACTGATAGACAACTTAAAAACTGATCACCAGGCCCAGATGGCATACATCCAAGAGTTCTGAAAGAACTCAAATGTGAACTTGTGGATCTCCTTACAAAAATATGTAATCTTTCTTTAAAATCTGCCTCCATTCCTGAGGACTGGAAGGTAGCTAATGTCACTCCCATCTTTAAAAAGGGTTCCAGAGGAGATCCGGGAAATTACAGGCCAGTCAGTCTGACGTCGATTCCGGGTAAATTGGTGGAAAGAATTAGTAGGCACATAGATGAACAAAACCTATTGAGGCAGACTCAGCATGGGTTCTGTAAGGGAAGATCTTGTCTCACTAACCTGTTAGTGTTCTTTGAGGGGGTGAACAAACATGTGGACAAGGGGGATCCAATAGATATTATTTACCTTGACTTCCAGAAAGCTTTTGATAAAGTTCCTCATCAAAGGCTCCTAAGTAAGCTCAAAAATCATGGGATAAAATGACAAGTTCTTTTATGGATCAAAAACTGGCTAATTAATAGAAAACAGAGTGAGTATAAATGGGCAATTTTCTCAGTGGAGGGTGGTAAGCAGTGGGGTACCGCACGGATCAGTACTTGGTCCACTGCTTTTTAACTTGTTCATTAATGATTTGGAGATGGGAGTAAGCAGTGAAGTGGCTAAATTTGCGGATGATACGAAGTTGTTCAGGGTGGTGAAAACCAGGGAGGATTGTGAGGCA